CGTGGTGAGATGCTACGGGATGCTCACCAGCAGTACGTGCTCGCCACGAGAGTACGGGTACTACTGACTGTATCGGCCGTAGCCGCCGCCCCTTCTCTCCAATTCACGACCCATGACCCTTGACGGAGAAGGAACTCCATCCTGAAGAAGCCTGTTCCCACCCACACACCCCCTGGAGACGGTTCAGTAAATCTATTGGTTCCGCCGCTACGGTCCATCTTCAGCGGGACGACTGGCAGCGGGACCTTGGTCCATCTTTTTATTATTATTATTATTATCTGGTCATGTATTTATTTATCTGTTTATTTAATCTTAATCTTATCTTCTGCCTTTCTGTCTTGCCCTTCTTCTATCCTCCTCTCTTCCTTGTGTGTGCGTGTGTGTGTAGAGGTTATGTGTGTGCCATCCTGCCCCTCCAGGGATGGTTGTCGTCATTTCTCGTCCTACCTTACCCTTCCGGTTGGATCTTTGAGGAAGGAGCAGGAGGGGAGCAAGAGAAATGAAAAATTGACGGAAAAGAGTATCAGAGAGTATAGAGTAATAAGAAATAAAATAAAAAAAATAGCCAAGCAGGTTTGAGTCTTTTTTTTTTTTCTGTTTTAATAGTTTGACCCTCTTGATTATGCCTCCACCCCCCTCCCTTCCCGTATGCGTGTTTGACAACCAACCCTCCCCCCCCCCCCTCTTTTCCCCATCTCTCGTTGGCGTCAACTGCGGCCCGCCGTGTTCTGCCATTGCCGGTCGAACTCGATAAGGGGAGAGAGAAGGGAGGGAGGGAGGGAGGGAGAAGACGGAGAGGAAGGAAAGACGTGGCGGGAATGGATATACAGGGACAGGTAATCCGCCTTCACATCGATCCGCCCGGTACAGCTGTATTACGTACAACTCGTATAATGTGAATCATGTAATACATGGAATATATATATACGGAGCAATGTAATATATACATTTATATATGGAGTGATATAATATATATATGTATATATGTATATATATATGTATATATATATGTACATATATACGGAGCAATAACTAAATATACATATAGATATGTATGTACACGTAAAAGAATTTCAATCGTCTCCATTGATCCTCTTTTCCTTTTTTTTTTTTTTTTTCTCTCTGACATTCTTCAGTGAATCCTCTCTCTCTCTCTCCCCTCTCCCCCCCCCCCCCCCCCCCCCCCCCCCCCCCCCCCCCCCGGGGGGGGCCGGGGCCTCCCTCCTAGAACCCAACTAAAAAAGAGGAGTGAGACGACGAGTCAATCTTCATATTCTTTTCTTAGCGCTCTCGCGACCCGGAGACGTGGACGTGGACCTGGGGCGCCAGTCCCTCGGGATCCGACAACGGTCAATCCTCTCTCTCTACAGATTGCACGATTGCACGAGTCCTCGTAGCCGTTCCCTCTCGTCCCATGTCCTTCCTCTTCTGCTCGCTACGGTTGACGAATACTGCCTGCACTCGTAGCCTTCCGTCATCCTCGTCCCAGGAAGAGTCGTCGGACCCATCCGGTGCAAGCCGAATCTCTGGCTCTGATGCTCTCCATCTCGGTCGGTTATCGATCACTACCTAATCCGCTGCTGAGGGATGTCATGGTAGTAGCACGAGACCCCGAATGCATCTGAGAGGAGAGAGAAGGAAAAGGACGGAAAAAAGAAAAAAGAAAAGAAAAAAGGTGGATACATTCTAATGCCATCATTACCAAGTAGTGGTAATATTACTCGATACTAATCATCACTTCAAGCAGCAAAGCACACAAGAGGGCACACATCACAGGGCAAGAGCGAGGGGAAGGATCTTCCGTACCGGATGACGCAGGTCCCACACTCTCATGATTAGTACGACTACAGATTACAGATGACAGGTTACAGATTACAGATGATTACAGCTGCGTCAGGAAGAGCCGACTGTTCACGTATAGTGGTGGTGGTAGTGGTAGTCGTAGTCGTAGCAGTAGCAGTAGCGGTAGCGGTAGCGGTAGCGGTAGCGGTAGTGGTAGTAGCAGCAGTGGTAGCAGTGGTAGTAGTGGTAGTAGCAGTAGCAGTAGCAGTAGCGGTAGCGGTAGTGGTGGTGGTAGCAGCAGTGGTGGTGGTGGTAGCGATACGGCACGATTCTCTCGCAGGGCCCTTGACCGCTCGCCTGGGTGGTCATTCGGTCCTCCGGGGATGGGAGGAACCTTGAGGGGCCAATCCTCTCTCCCTACGTACATTGATCCGTAATGCTGCAGCTGCAGCTCGGGACAGGCTGTGGCCCGTGTGTCTCGGAATGTATGATAGCCATGCATCACGACACATCATACACCGGGAGCAGGACATGCGCAGAAGCAGATGACAGCTGACGCGTAACGAACCAGTGAGACGACGCGGTCACATGGCCACCTCTCGTGTACGGGCAACGTAATCTGTACAGCTAGTCTCGTACGCCGCCGCCGCCGTCGTCGTCGTCGTCTCTGCCAAGTTTCTCGCATTGCGTTGCAAGGGATGACTGCCATCGTCCCGAGGAGCGAGATAAGGCGTCTTGTCCGGCTACGGTCTGTAACCGATACGGCGGCCTACGAGGTAGATGATACGACGACCCGGACGGGAGACGCGCGGTGCCATCATTTCTTGTGTCCTAGACCTCTCTCCACCCTCTACCCCTACACTACACGGCTAATACGACCAAGGTAATATAAAATTTTTTTTTTAAAAAAAAAATATGCCTTTCTATGTAATGTACGGGGAGTATCATCACTCTCCATGTCTTCTCTACCCTACCCTTACCTCTCCCCTCCCGAGCCCTCTCCCCTCCCGAGCCCTCTCCCCTCCCGAGCCCTCTCCCCTCCCGAGCCCTCTCCCCTCCCATCGGCAGTTGGCCAGAAAGAAGAGAAAGAGAAGAGAAGGAGAAGAGAGGGACTGTGGATGGCATGGCGTGATGACCAATGCTCACCGAGAATACTGAAACATTGCATGGAATCATTCAATTGTCATGCACGTCACACCCACAGTCCCAGCAGTCGGGATATGCTACACGTCATACGACGGTACCCGTGGTATATGATTATCACGATGGTACCCAGGTACTATCCAGCATTCGATGCCCTGTACAGCTACGGAGCGTAGCGGCCAGGTCGTTGGTTGCGGGGATGCCCATCATCGACTGCATCGCTCCTACGGATCGCTGCACGATGATGATTTGAACGAGTATGGATCGTAGTATCGCTACCGCCTACAGGTATCGGTGGTATATTACCGCCGTACCGAGTTTCGGACGCCCGACAGCCCCGGTCAGCTGCCGGCTCGATGCTGTCCTCCCACCCTCCCCTCTGCTTCTCCTCCTTCTCCTCCTCCTCTCCTCCTTCCTTCCATTCTTCCCATCCCATCGCCACTGCCTGGTTCTGCGCCTCACACGGGCCGCACCAGACATGTTGTGGGGGTTCTCTCGAGCAGTCTGGTGAGCGTGAGAGTCGTCGTGATCATATCCGTACCAACCCCCCCCCCTCTGGCAAGACCATCCTTCCTCCGCACGTATCGGCTCTGGGAACAGGTTGCAACGGAGAAAAGAAAAGAAGAAGAGGTCAGACTGCCAAGACGTAAACACACGCAACCCCATCCCGGCAACCTATCTCGCAAGGTGGTGCAGCCCACGATATGATGCTACGCCGATAGCATCGCGCGTCGCCATCCATGACTGCCGCTCCTCCGCATCGATCCTGCGGGGACTCCTCGGTCTACCACGGTCCGCGGGTGAGCATTACGACGAAGCGTCACGACGAAGCGTCACGACGTGATCCCATTCGTCGCCGTAGCAGAAGAGGAGGACAGGAGAAACCGGCGTGGTCTCAGATGCGCGATTCCGGCCCAGGCTCGGATCGAATGCTTGCCACGACTCAGACCAGACCTCGACTCTCTCCTGTTTACTATATACACACCTTGGGGGGGGGGGAAATAAAGATGAAGAAAGATGAAGAAAAGAAAGAAGAAAAGAAAGAAGAAGAGAAGAAAGAAGAAGAGAAGAAGGAGAAGAAGGAGAACCAACAACAACAACAACAACCCCCCCCCCCCAAAAAAAAAAAAATTGAGTGAGAGAGAAGTACATACGAGTACATGCATGTATAGATAATCTGTATATTATAATACTATACATCCACCTCCCTCACCCGCAACCCAATCCCCCCTCCCTCAATACGGAACGCCAGGCTAGAAAGAAGAGAAGGAGGACGGGATCGGGACGGAGGGAAGGAGGCTGCGAACTTGATACTCTCTGCCCTCGAGGCTCAAGACACCAGGGGCGTCTGGTGGCGGTTCCAGACTTCCCGGCGAGAACTTGGCAGCGAGATGACCGAGAGAGAGAGAGAGAGAGAGAAAACAGTCCGCATATTACCATGACCCCTAGTGAGATGCACATCTTACTCGATACCACCAAGAGACCTTGACTCTGAATGGAGAACTAGGAAGATTTTTTTTTTTTTTAAAAAAAAAAGAGGATAAAATTAAAATTAAAAAATCTTTATTGAATGTATTTCCCCTTCCCCTTCTCTTCTTCTCTTCGCTCTCGTGGGTCTCATCAGACCACGGTAATACTCATCATGGAACTCGACCGGTATTACCTGTACATGTATCTGTACTCAACCCCATTTCCCAATCCATGTATTCATGTATCCTCCCCAAACCTCTCTCTCTCTCTCTCTCTCTCCCCCTCTCTCACACACACACACACTTCCGTGACTTCACCCACACACTCTGCTCTCTCTCCAGTACCGCGGAACCGGGTCATTGTGCTGGGAAAATCTCTACAGGGGGTTGCCTCTTTGTTCTTCTTCCCCCCCCATCTTGTTAATCTGATGATGTATTGATTTTACTTTTTTTTTTTTTCTCCCTCTTTCCTTTCCTTTCCTTTTCTTTCTCTCCTTTCGCATGCGCGACTATATATATATATATATATATATATATATATATATATATATATATATACGTGTGTGTATGTATCTGTGTATATGTATGTATGTGTGTGTGTGTGTGTGTGTGTGTGTGTGTGTGCGTGTCCGTATACAATCCCCGAGTGCGAGCCTGCGAGCTGGTGCGACCTGGAAGTGACGATAGCCGGAGGCGGTCATCGCGGGAACATGTATTGGTAACTTGGGAATCTCTTCACCGTTCGCACTGGGACTGCGAGGTCGGACAGTCCGGCCACCATGTCCCTGACTCATAAGCTTGTTCCTTTTCTTGGCTTCTTTTTTGGCTAATGCGAGTATATCATCTAGTAATGATACCTACCGATACTACTACTACTAGTACTATTCTACCGATATTACTACTACTCTGCTACTCTACTACTATTACTACTATTACTACTATTACTACTATTACTACTATTACTACTATTACTACTATTACTACTAATACTACTAATACTACTACTATTCTACCGATATTACTACTCTACTACTAATACTACTCTACTACCAATACTCCTATTGCTACTAATACTGCACTACTCTCGAT